AACATCATCCATCACCACTACATACAACATCATCCATCATCACTACATATAACACCATCCATCATCACTACATATAACACCATCCATCATCACTACATATAACAACATCCATCATCACTACATATAACACCATCCATCATCACTACATACAACACCATCCATCATCACTACATATAACACCATCCATCATCACTGCATTTAACACCATCCATCATCACTACATATAACACCACCCATCATCACTACGTATAACAACATCCATCATCACTACATATAACATCATCCATCACCACTACATACAACATCATCCATCATCACTACATATAACACCATCCATCATCACTACATATAACACCATCCATCATCACTACATACAACAACATCCATCATCATTACATATAACACTATCCATCATCACTACATATAACAACATCCATCATCACTACATATAACACCATCCATCATCACTACATATAACACCATCCATCATCACTACATATAACACCATCCATCATCACTACATATAACAACATCATCATCACTACATATAACACCATCCATCATCACTACATATAACAACATCCATCATCACTACATATAACATCATTCATCATCACTACATATAACACCATCCATCATCACTACATATAACACCATCCATCATCACTACATATAACAAAATCCATCATCACTACATATAGCATCATCCATCATCACTACATATAACACCATCCATCATCACTACATATAACACCATCCATCATCATTACAGATTCTCGTGCGGACACACAAACAAACAAACAGACATACTTCTTTGTTTTATATAGATAAGATAGATAGATCGTCACTACATTTAACATCATCCATCATCACTATATATAACACCATCCATCATCACTACATATAACAACATCCATCATCACTACATACAACATCATCCATCATCACTACATACAACATCATCCATCATCACTACATATAACACCATCCATCATCACTACATATAACACCATCCATCATCACTACAGATCGGTAAAGTAGTTTCCGAGTTTCTCGTGCGGACACACACACACATAAAGAAACAGACAGACAGACAAATTCATATTTAGGCGCGAGATAGGTAAACATTGGTTTAGAGATAGAGTAGTGGATGAGTGGAACAAGCTACTAAACATCATCATTAGCTCGAATACGCTGGATAGCTTCAAACATAGGTTAGATGGATATATGAGCGAGAGGGGTTTGGCGTAAAATGGACTGCCTAGTATGGGCCATTAGTCTAGCTGCGGTTTCCTCCATTCTTGTGTTCTTATATTCTCATGTTGGCTGTTCATAGTAGGACAAGCCCTACTGACACGTGAACATCAACTGGTGCACTAATTCACCAGGTAGCCTTTTTATGTCTCTCACTTGGCAGTGTGCATATCATTAAACTTCACATGTGCACAATTTCGCATTTAGACTAAACACGTTAATGTAGTGTTTGGGGAGCCAGTTGGAGCTTAAACATAACTTAGGTTCAATGTATAAAACTAGAAAATACTCTTGGGCCGACGTCTTGGGCTTACCCCATACAAATGTATCACAGCAGACCTCTTTAACTGAACACGGTTTACATTTGTCCAGTTAACATAAGAAAAGTAATTGGGAGCTTCCATTAGATTGGTCTGAACCCCCCTTTAACTGTTGTGATTTCCACAAATCAGGATACAAGAGTAACTACATTTATTCATTTCACAGTATGATTGTGTAGTCACTGGAATTTATTTCCATTCACTTCGTCAGGAAAATATACAGTTTATTTCGATGTCAGATCGAAAGTATTGTCGTAATGTTCTACACTGTTATCTCACAATGTGTAACATACATTAAGCCATCTGTTTGTACCTTATATGCATCAGCAGCAGTCAAGATGTTGGAGATGCATGTATTGTACAGTACGTGAAAGCTGTGTAAGCAGAAGAAAATTTAGATTATTTTATGGATTTACTGGTGAGTGTCGGCCCAGTAACTTGGGTTTATATGTGCTACCACAAACGTTTATATAAACTAATGTAATGCTGTAATGGAAGGATAAACATTAAAAATTAAAAGTAAATAGTCATGCATCTGGCCGCAGAGCTTAGGGACGACACGCGTAACAAAGCAGTGATATAAACAATTTGTTACTAACAAGTTATAAATTCTTTCAATCAGTAATAAGAAATCAATGCGCTGGTACAATCAAAATACGTAGTGAGAGTGAGTCCCGTGAAGGACAATGCCGATACATCACATATACTAAATCTTTAATACTGTACCCTGGCAAAACACTCAACCTTCATTTCCCCCAACTGTAAATTAAGTACATGCTCATTTAAAGCGGGGTGGGCTGGGGGTTTCCCTGAGATCAAACTAGCGATGCTTAGGACAGGAAATAAGAGATGTATCCACTCCTCTGCTGCCCAGTGCCGGCTTTAGACCTGTGGAGGCCCATGGGCAGCCTCTTTGTGGAGGCCCCCCTCATTATAACTACCCAAGAGGGTGCGGTGGCGAGTGAAGCGAGCCTAAACATCTGAGAGTTCCGGGGGGCGCTGTAGGCCCCCCTGGAAAATTTTGAAATTTGAACACTTCTTTGGAGAATTTTGAAGCCATATGCAGTTATATTGAGGAAATTAGAACATTGAGAAATTTTTGATTAACTGTATATTTATTGATAGTGTACAAATTCCCAACACACACACACACACACACACACAAAAGTGAGACATGACCGGAATCATTCATGTGGTTTCAAGTCGACCAGCCCTGATATAGCCACTACCGCACATGTCAAAAATTTTCAAGAGACTTCACAGAAAAGAATATATTATTAGTTATTACAGAGAGATGATTCTTTGCATTATTAATCAGATAAACTTCTACTCAAATAATGGTTCTGTCCAAGAATGCATGTATAGGCTTCTTTAAGTCCAAGGTCAAATAGATTCAGAATAAGTATTAACTATAAATAAAATTGAAGTTTTGCATCCAATAGTAAAACAAATAAACAATTTAATGAATTTGATAAAATTATAACAAAAGTATGAACATGTTGGAAAAAACAAGAATTTTAATAAAAATAACTGCCATCGACCATGGATAATGGATATATTGAACACAAACATTGATCAATTGCAAAATAGAAAATAAACATTACCTTTATTTACAGACCAGGCACTTTACATGACCTGGTCGCTGCTAAGTTTTTGATCAACTTTTCGAAGTCAATCTCTCTGAGGATGTCATATTCGATACTCATCAAAGCCAGGTGGCTGAGCCTATCATGACACATTGTAGTCCAAAGTCTGTTTTTAATAAACTTCATTTTACTGAAAGAACGTTCTCCAGAACAACTTGTGACCATGAGCACCAAGTACATCCGTAGCATTATTTCAACATTTGGAAATGTATCTACAACTTTCTTGTCAATCAACAGCTTGTAAAGGTAATGTGCCCTCCCTTTCTCATCGTCTTCGTCTTCACGAAATTGAGTGAAGAATGCTGTAAACTGCACAAGTTCAACTACAAGTGTTTGATCCAAATCATTTTTGTACTCAGCAACCAATTTTGCTGCAGCTGCTTCAATTTCGTCACAATTCATTGACTCCAGTTTAGACAAGAACCCGAAAAGTGAACAGGTTTCCTCATAGGCCTTTAACCGTTGATCCAGTGAACTCAGGAACTGATTAATTGCAGGAAGGAAATTCTGAACCCGCAATTTTTCTGACTGTGAGAGGGCTGCTTCTTCTGATCGTCCATAATCCAATGGATTGAGTCGTACATTACGTTGACGCTTGCGTGTCTGTGAATAATCCCCAGTTTCTGACATTTCCCTTCCCTTCTTCTCATAAACATGGAAGCAATCTCTTTTTTCTCGTACAAAACATTCCAAGGACTTCAGCATTGCTACTGCTGTGTTCAAATTGAGTTTAGGATCTTGCAATGCATGGCTTGTTGCATCAACTCTGCCAAGAATGTCATGTCATGTCAACAAACACAGCGCCCTGATGGCATTCGTAATGGAAGTGATAATGAAAAAAAAATTTTATTTTTATTTTTTTAATCTCAAATTTGTTATTCCATGTAGTTCATTTTTAATCAATATATGTTTGTAGAATTCTAAATATATTATTAGCAACACAAACAATAGCATTCATTAAAAATTTACGGTTCATAGGAAAACCAGGTATTCATGAATTTTTAGGAGTAGCTAGCCTAATTTCTATCACGCTTCTTGCTGAACATAGTTTTACGTGATGGAATAGATAAACATGAATTTTAAAGAATGAAAATAAAAATAATCCAAATCAATAAACAAATAAATAAGATGTTGTAATATGTGGAGGCCCCTGGGCAGTTGCCCACTTTGCCCACTCCTAAATCCGGCCCTGCTGCTGCCGCACCTTTAACGTAAGACTGACAACATGCCTAAAAACCATTTTAACTTCCTCCCTGACAAGGAAGGGTCTTTGTTTCTAAAAACGATGCATCCTCTGGGGATGAGAAACACCATAACATAGCCACTAATCCCCCACAGATCCTTGGGAGTAGAAAATACCAAATTTTTAGTTTTAAATATATTTATTTAACCAAACTTTTAGATAAACTAATCTGGATTATTATACTGTAGTAAATAAATGAAGTTTCCAACTGAATTAGAACTGCATATACAGACTCTGGTATTTTAGATTCAAGGAAAACATCCCCAGCACACCCAGAAACATTCTGGTGAAGTGAGTTAGTGTCTGTCTGTGCAAGATGTCTAGTTTAGACACATGGAATCTTTTCCAAGTAACCGGAAATGATTCTGGGGATAAGGAATTTTTCAGGGTTTGAAAAAGTCGTCTGGTTACCTGGAAATCTCTCAATCTCTCATGCCCGGAAATGCTCTGCACCAACTGTTCCGGCTAACAAGGATATCACTATACTGTACCCCTCAATAGATTTAATGAGACACATAAAGACACTGTATTAACTTTCCTCAGCTTCAGCACAAGTATGTATGAGCGTCACACCATCTGGTCAACGGCAATGTTTGGCTTCTTTATCATAATCAACGGCGTTGGTTTCAACCAAACCACCTGGCAGAGGTTCGCTTCTGTGAGAACGCTTCAAATATCACAAAGGTAAGTGCATATACTGTATATACTGTACTAAAATTTAATTACCATATTTTTAGTATTGAAAATCAGCCTAATCGGGACCTCAAACACTCAAGGGTTGGCAGGACAAGTACGAGATATTTACACATTTTAGAAGAAAGTTGCAACTTTAGCTCATGAGACAGATATATTAGAACCTATCATTTGCACAAGTAATTCAATTTAAACAAATTACACCTCTGGGTGCCGGGTTTGAACTGGGAGCCACCATGGTTGGTAGTCAGGCAGCTTGAACTACAAGTTAATAGTTAAGGTGGGATAGCCTTTAGGCTCATCATGAACGGAGCAAAAAATGAAATTATTTCTCAGAAAGATCGAAAATTTAAGAAAGTAAAAATAAGTCTGTCATTTAGATAATTCAGTTATTGAACATCTATCAACATCACTGCCATTGTGGTAATAAATGGTTTTATGGATGTTTGCATGATCATGGGTTACTTAGGTATCACTAACAGATCCAGTACCAGTACAGTATGTATAATAATGAAAATGTATCTCTGGAAGACAATAGGGTTGGACATTCCCACAATTAAAGGAATTTTTAAGAAAATAAAATTGAACACATCAGGTTAGAACAAATGATCGTGCACGAGTGCTTGTTGCCTTGCTGAAGACTATACACACATTAAGGCAACAGAGTGCAAGAATCTACTGATATGTGGTAATTTAACTCTTCCTAACACCACTGTGTCAAGAATGAGCTGAAAAAATTCGTAGTTAAGAGGCCTTCACCCATTACACGGAGGTTTAGGTATCCATCGGCAGAGCCGTGTGCAGGAATGAGAATCTCAACGGAGAAGTCAAGTATAGAAATCCAGTTTTCTTTATAAGAATGTAAGTACATTATAATTAGGGTCCTCACCTGGAAATTCTTTGATCCTGTCTGTTTAAAGAAGGATTTTCACTACATTAGGCACCTGAGGAGTTACTGTAGCAAGATGATTCAGGTTTGAGGTTATTGAGAGACTGCTGGCTTGGTTGATGGGCTTAGGTTATGAATAAGTTTTCCCTGATCTGTGTCTCTGATATTTTAATCTTCAAAGCGAAAATCTAGCAAATTTTCACAACTAGTAATAGAGTTAGTGGGAGTTAAATCTACCTAATTCTACCAGGCTAATCTCTGTTCAGTTATCATTAGTTGCACCTAACAATAGTGAATTTTGAGAATGGTCACTATCATTTTCAGAGTCATTATCTGAATTGCCAGTTTCTTCTCGTTTAAATAACATACAAATATTCTTGTGACTCAGAAATATTTGATTTAATGGAAGTTAATCCACAGATTTTAGTTATTCATATAGAATAAATTAAAATTGTACTGTAAAATTGCATCAATAAATATCTCCGTGGACACATGCGTATACTGTACATATAAATTTTAATTTTTCCTCTTAAATTCAATTATTCAGTGATAATTTCTAGGAACAAAATTATTATTACTTTACTGTGCTTTTAATTAAAAGTTGCTTAAAGCACTGTATTTATATGCAGTAATTTTATAAAGATACCATGTGAAGTCTTCTTCATGTGTTTGCTGTTATCAACTATTAATTAATGTATATTTGTGTCCACTGACCTACTGTATGATGTTGGAGTGAGGTGGAATGTCAATTCTGAAGTCCGAAGAGTCAAAGGTCGCTCCCTGGGGACTCATTCGATCACGTCACAGCTGCTTCAACCCACTATGACGTCCATTATGACGTCGCGTTGACATAACAAGATGGCACCCGTGTTGAAGGCATGTGCGCTCTTAGTTCCTGTTTACTGGTTTGACGCAGGCATCTCGCGCACACTGGGAAGTTAGTTACGAGAGGCTTGTTGTGGGTTTAGCACACTGAGCTCAAGGGTTGCGATATCTTCTCTCTGGTGAAGGAGAGCTCGCTTGATTAAGCAGGGATGGCTTGATTTGTTGATTGGTTAAGTGCTCACTCTTGGGTCGTGTAGATTCTGTATACCATAACTGATTAAGTGTTGTAAATAAATTAGTCCACTGCTCACTTGAATATCATTTGTGAAAATATATATCATTTCACTAGAAATATTTATATGCTTTCCACTTCACTGTCTCCACGGATTATATACTCTAATAATGTTTATTATTCGCAAATTTGAGATATTGATCCTAGCAACAGCCACCATCCAATGCCCTAGTCACTTATTTAAGGTTAGGTTGAGTTCTTACATTTGTGTATTTATAAGAATAATGTTGGGTGCTGTTACTTGGCTATCACTGTTCTGGTAAGGGATTTTTTGTGGCAGGGATATTTGAAACACAACTAGGTGTTTTTCCTTTATTAGACATTGAACTATGTACACATGAGTGACAAGGAAGACTTTGTAAAGGAAGTCTTCCGGTCAGAGCTCAGCACTGGAGATGTGCTTTAGTCGAGTCCTGTGGAATGCCTGAGCCTGTCAGCAGTTTAGAGGGTAGGAGTTTGACCTCTTTGGCCATGCCTAGGGCATAGGCCTTAATATGTAATATTGCTCTAATATTATAATAATAAATTAGAAGTGTAAGGTGTAGTGGTTTGTAGAAATTGCAATAGTGTGCTTGTATATTGCTCCAAACTGAGATGATTTTATGTTATCAAGAAATGTTGAGGGTGAAACCCCTAGTGCCTCTATCTGAATCATCACTCGTCGAACCCACCAGCATCCTGACTTCCAAAAGTCAAGTGTTGAGTTCATCGAACAGAATATCAGTAAACTCCTTTGTCGTCCGGAAGAAAAGCAGTAAAGAGGAGATACCCTTGCTGAACACTTCCTGCCTAAGTAATCCCGTGATGACCAAACACCAGGGTTGGATCTTTGCTCACACATACGACACGAGATAGCAGATACTGAGATGGACAACACTGGTCGCTTATTTTATGTTAGTCTAAATTCTATTTTGACAAACACTTAATCTTCAGCGTCGTTGTTGGTACATTTACTTTCGCATTAATTTATGTATTGAGTCTTTAAATGAGAATGTAAAGCTGCAACAGTACAATGAAGATCTAAATTTTTTGTCGTCTAGATTTAACTTGGTGTTAACTAATAAGCTGGTCATTTCTTTCATTAGTACATCATTAGTACAGGGTTAGTTACACAATCAAGCATTTATTTATTTGCAAAAATACAATTCTAGCATTATATTATATACTTAATACAACACAATAATCTCTGGCACAAAAAAAAATAAACACTGTGAGAAAACATTGGAGACAGTCTATGATAATTACAAAAGAAAATCTTGTTTTCCAGGATGGTCATAAGCTTCTTGGTAGGACTGTGGGCATTATGGATTGTGTTCTACTTCTCGGGACTTGTCGCCTATGCCACCTACAGCGAGTGTGATCCGTTCGCCTCCGGAAAAATTGACAAACTTGATCAGATTATACCATTCTTGGTGACGGACAAGCTGAATCACTTGACGGGGTTGGCCGGGATCTTCGTGGCGGCCGTTTACGGCGGCGTCCTCAGGTATTTTCTCAGTTTCATGGCAGTGCAAATTAAGACATCTTGCAGAAACACTACGATGCAGCACCCCTTATAATCCACAGATGAATGAGTCTAAAAATATAGTGATATATAATATTTCCACTTTACAAATAGGGTTTCAGTCATATACAATTGTGACCAATCAACAGCCAGACATTGAACGCAGGAAACAAATAGTTATAGATTAGGATGAGAGTCATTATTGTGATGACTGGAAGATGGGTCAAACCTTATTTATAAGAGGGAGGACTTAATGTGATTGCCTTAGACTCAACTGTACCAAGGAAGTGTGTGGGGCTGAAGCCTCCCCATCAGGATGTAAAAACTTAATACAAAGACAAATCAGCCCTCTGGACTGATTGCTCAGAAGGGAATAATCTTCAACACCTACACGAGTCAGCATTTTCTTTCTTTACGTAGTTTTAGCTGTTTGAGTTAAGTTATGTGACGTTTCCAAGATTGGTTTGGGGTTACACTGATGTTAAGTACCGTAGTTATACTGTATATCTGTCAAAGTCATAAAGGAGTTTTAGAAAGAGGAAGAGGATATAAAGTAAGCCTTACAAATTTTTACTGCCCCAAGTTATGTCTGTCCAACTGGAAAACTTTTTCTACATACAAGAACAACAGAAACCTGGAGCACCAAATCCCATTTTATGGTTGAGAAGAGAAACGAAAGATGAGTACAGCAACTAGCAGCAGGGAACATTATCTTAATGGAGACTATTGTTACAAATAACGACTTCATTATGGCTTTTCCAGCCAGTTAAGCTCGCAAGAATCCACTCGAATCCTGTGACTGCTTCAAGAACCGCTGACGCTAGTCAGGCTGGAGTCGGTGTTCTACAGCTCTTGTCACCTGAACCAGATATGGCCACGCGAGACAACTTACCACAATCCTTAATCTAGAAGAGAAGGATGCCAGGCTTCTCAATTGTCTTATCGGTCAAAAAGACAAAATTTCATACCTCATCTCCATATGTGGTACATGGAGACTGATGGGCGATCTGAGACTTTTGTGAGGTCACAGCTTAATTTAGAGCAGAAACTTCTATAGATACCGTCGTGGGAGGTATATGACGAATCACAGGGAGTTGACCCCGAAAATGTATCGAAAACAATCTGTGGGTTAAGGGTCCGGTGAAATGTGACAGATCCTCCTGGAGTTGTAGCACCACGGTGCTTCATTCTCCATCTTATGTCCGGCAGTTTGCAGGATAGAAGACAAGGAAGGAAGTTAAAGGTGGCAGCAGACTCCACACAGCAACAAAAAGGGTTTCCTGTGCTTATGGAAACGATGGACCAGGAGTCTTGGCAAAGGAGGGATCCATACATAAAGGGTAGTGAGTAAGGATATAAGTAAGGAACTTATAGGGTCCACCAGACTCATCCTGGAAATCATAGGGCATGGAGATGAGCTCACCCTTTCTACGGTATCTGTGCATTACCTATATATGTAAATAAAGTGGAAGGAAACGGTAGCCATCTTGACTTCAGCAAGACCTTTGAGTTGAAGGGTTTAGTTCATATCAGCTAGGAAACAGATTTTTGTCTCAGTTAAAGGATTACCTCAGAAAATAAAATATATATCAACAATCGTTCACTGTTATGTTCGCCACCAGTACATTGTTGCTGTTCCTAAGCTGTTATATCCTCCACCAATTCACTGTTGTTGTTCCTGAACTGTTTTATTCGCCACCAATACACTGTAGTTGTTTCTGAATTGTTATATCCACCACCAGCACACTGTCGTCATGCGGTAACTCAGTTGCGTGTATAATCTGGGAGGACTTCCTGAAGGAGCGGCCTTACTTCAGCAGCCTCAGTGATGCCAGTGCCACTAACGTCGTCAAGCTCCTCTGTGAGTACTTTTCCTTTATGGTTTTATTTACCTGAGTCTGTTATCTGCTTCACCCTCTATTCCTTCCTTCTTTTGAGCATGTCTATATATAAGAACAAAAGAATGGAGGGAACTGCAATGGGCCTATTGGCCCATACAGTCGCGTTTACACCCAACCCCTATTGATGTTTGTTAACTTGTTCCACTCATCCACCACTTTATTTACATACTAGTGTTTACCTTTCTCGCGCTTAAATCTATTTTGCTTTTATAATTTAAAACCATTGCCGCGAATTCGTTCCTGGCTGGATAATTTAAGTACTTTTGTTATCTCACTTTTATTTATCCCTGACTTCTATTTCTACACTTCGATCATATCGTCCCTCACTCTACTGTATGTCTCTCGAGGGAGTGCAAATTCAGATGTTTTAATCTGTTACTGTACTCAAGGTTCCTAATGCCCGGGATTAGTCTTGTTATCCTTCTCTGCACGCTTTCTAGGGATTCAATATCCATTCTTTAGTACGGTGGCCAAAACTGAACTGCATAATCCAAGGGAGGTCTTACAAGCGTAAGATATAGTTTTAGGATATCCTCACTAGACTTGTAACTAACACTCCTTTGTTAAAGTCAAAACAAATCACATTATAATCATGTCCGTCATCCACTGATTCGAAAACTGTTTAAAAGAATGATAATAGATTAAATTGTCAGACACGAACGCCCACTTGTGAAACCATGCTGGGAATCATTGATCATTTTGTGTTTCTCAAGGAGATTTTGAATTGAGATTGAAATATTTGCTTCCAGTAATTTGCCTGCAATTGATGTTATACTGATGGGAGAGTACTTGTACTACACTGGTATTTAATGACATGTTAAAAAAAAATTCTAAGGGCATACTAAGTTCTTCCTTACATTCCTTTAATATTTTGGCAAATATCTCGTCGGAACCTGACAACTTATTAGGTTTTATTTTGTCTATTTGTTTACTAACATTGTTACTTGTCACTACTAACTCTCTTAATTTATTTTGTTCACATCTCTGAAGATAGTCGGTGCCTTGGGTATCATATTTAAATTTGCAGTTGTAAAAACCGATGAAATATATCTGTTCAGATTATTGCTCATTTCTCCGCCGTTATCAGTTAGTTCGCCGGTATCTCTCTGTATTGGTCCAATCTTGTCTCAAGTGTTAGCTTGATTCATCTGAAAGAATCCCTTTGGGTGTGACTTTGCTTCCCTTACTACAGTATACTCTCGATTTAACAAAATCCAATATAACGGACTCTCCATTTAGTGGATAGCATTTTTTTCAGAATTTTTCTCTTAATTTAGTGAGCTAGTTCACTAAACCAAGATTAATTCCATTAATACGCTCATACCTATGGAGACACCTCAGACACATGATACAGTAAAACCTACTTCAGTAAAATACTTAGTTTTAACTTATTATTCGGCTTGTCATTTAAGAATATCATATTGGAAACGTCTTGTAGAGAAATTATTAATGATCATTATGGTATCAAATTCATCTCCCTATCACAATTAGCCATGCTTGAGGAAAGGTCACGCCAGACTTAGCAACCGGGGATAAATTGTCTGTAATGGTTAATGCTAATGTAAAGGCCTGGGACTTAGGGATAGAAATCTCTTGCCAGCCTAATCAGGATCTTATAAAAGGAAAGTCAAGAACCATGGTTGTCCTAGGGATAACAAACAACCGTTCGAGATTGACGTCTCTTTACTGTAAAAATAACACAAAACTCTGACACCACTCAAAGAAACATCAAATAACAATTACAGGAGTCAAACAATTATGAGAATCAAACAATTAATGGAGTTAAACAATTAAGGGAATCAAGCAATTAATGGAGTCAAACAATTGATGGAATCAAACAATTAATGGAGTCAATTAATGGAATCAAATAATTAAGAAAATCAAAAAATTACGGGAGTCAAACAATTATGGAGTCAAACAATTAAGGGAGTCAAACAATTAATAGAATCAAACAATGAGCAAATATTTCCTCCGGCAACAGCCTTGGGGAAGGTTCTGGAAAGCAGTGATCCACTCTCAGGGGGAAGGTCAAGTCAGCTTCCTGTGATGTCTTGCTACACAGGAGAAAAACCAGGGCACAGATGGTGGAGGAAGTGGCGATGACGTGGCTGCCGCGGTAGTAGCCGGGGTAGGTGTCCGGAGATTGACAGTCGATTTGTGAAGGTCTGGGGAAACAGCCCACGAGTCCAGAATCTCAGATGAGAACACAACCAGAAATTGGACGAGCAGCGGGGAGGTGTAGCTGTGGTGCGAACCGGGTAGTGTCTGCTTGTGTCATGAGGCAGCAGTGACCTTCTCACCCCCCCCGCAAGTGAGGTACGCGAACAAGCGAGCGGGCAACAAACAATCATCCTGCTCGTTACCGCCCTTACACTACTTGTGAACAGGGCTGTGCCCTTCTGAGGGCCGAGTTAGAGAAGGTCAAAGAAGAAAACTTGAAATTAAAGGAAGTGATAGCGAGGATGAAGGAAGAAGACACAAGACAAGGAAAGAACGTGTCTGACGAAAACTCAGGCGAATGGAAGGTTGTGAGGAGAGGGACGACCAAACTGGTGGTGAAAAAACACACCAAGGATACGACAACACCAGATAAATGCACAAACTCTTTCAGTCCTTTGATAGACAAATTGGACGTTAGCATAGTCAGGCTGATAAGGAAGGTAAGAAAACATTAATTGTTAGCGATTCCCAGATACGGTACCTGGACAGAGCATTTTCTGGTAAAAATAACAATAGGATGAGGGTGTGTTTGCCAGGAGCTAGGGTGGGGGATATAGTTGACAGGATGGACAATATCTTGTCTGGTAATGGGAACAAACCCATAATCTGCCTCAGTGTTGGAGGCAATGATATTGGCCGGTGTAGGAGTGATGAGCATCTTCTTAAGTTCAAGACAGCTATAGAATGTATGAGGTCGAAGGGAGGGATCCCTGACCTGTATGGGCCTATTGGCCCACCCGGGGCAGTCCCATTTACACCCAAC